TGGCCAGCCCTGCGGGGTGGTGGGGAGCCACTGCACCGCGTGCTCCCCCTACAGCTCCCCCTTCTACATACGGACGGCTGACATGGTGCCCAATGGGGGTGGAGGCGAGAGGCTCTTTGCTCCCACCTATTACAAAGAGGGGGGCCCTCCATCGCTCAAACTGGCAGCTCCCCAGAGTTACCCGGTGACCTGGCCAGGCTCTGGGCGTGAGACCTTCACCAGTCCAAGGGCTATTAGTACAGACGTGTAACCCCTCCCACCCCTGCCCTGCACACACACCAATGCTGCTGCCCAGCGAGCAATGGGGACAGTGGGTGACCCCCAACGGCCCCATGGGACCACCCTGGTTTCTTTGGCTTTTCTGGCTCCACAGCGGAGGGTTTGTATGTTCTCAAGCTATGGAGTTCATCGAGGGTGGGGCAGGCCTGGTTCCTACCCAGTCTGTGGAGGGAAGGCCAGGGGCCGGTAGGATGGGTTTGCAGCTTGCCAGCTCCTCTGTGGGAATGGTTTCGGCAGCCCCAGCACCGCCACACCCCTTCAGCACCTGGAATGTTGGACTGAGGAGCACCAGGGAGGTGAAGCGACCATGCTGAGGAAGGGGACAAAGGGCAAGGAGGAGGTGAGAACTAACACAGTGCAGAAAATTCGAGAAGAGAGGGGAAGGTACGCTGAGGGTATGCCCTCTTCCCACCTACTCTGGGGCTTGCTGCCAAAACGCATCCTAGAGCTCGCTCACGGTCTCGTTCCGGACTTGAGTTGTCACAGACACTGCCGTCACCGCAGCTGTCCCAGCAGGGACACTGATTTCTAGTCACACCCCCTCTGCATCTGCCCCCTCCTCATGGAATGCATCGGCGCTGTCAAGCCGTGGTGTAAGGTTACGTGTGAGAGCTGTACCAAAGAGTGCGTGTCTAGCCTGCGTCCCCAGATCCTCCCTCTGCCCTGGGGAGCCAGCCGCCCCTGCTGGAGAGGCTCTCCCGAGTTTCACTACTAGGGTTCTTTCTGGCAGCTCAGCAGACAGGGCCTCACCGCTGTCTCTGGCCCAGGCCCACGTGCCGAGCAGCCTGCTCGGGTGCATTCCCATTCCCGGGTGTGCGCGTGCCCGTGCGTGCACACACGCTCCTGGCACCACAGCAGACTTTGCCGCCTTCAGGAGCTGCAGGGTGGACCGACCTCAGGTGGACCAGCTAGAAAGAAAAGCCTGACCCCCGGAGAGCATGAATGGAAAGTGCCCGTTAGGGCGGCTGGTCCCCGCGGCCCCCAGCTGCTGGTGTATAGGAAGAGCCCAGAGTCTCAGGCGGGCATGGGGAGGACGGTGAGCCTAAACTCCAGGGACCTGCCATTCTCCTTGGACATCTGCCTTTGATGCTATAGAGCAGGACCCTTGCTCCGGTTCCCGAGGACTGGAGGGCTGTGACAACTGAATTCCACACTTGCAGCCCTCCCTCTGCCACCCTACTCTCGTCTCCTGGTGACAGCCATGCATTGCCAAGTTGGCCAAGTCCAACCCCTCTTCCTGCTCTGACTCAGCAGCCACCTAGGCCTTCCGAGTCGGTGTGCCTGATGAGTCTCCCAGTTGTCTGTCTAAGGGCAGGGCTCACCACCCCAACTCCGGGCCTCCGACTGCTGCAGATGGGGTGGGGGGGCAGCCCTTCTGCTGAAATCTTGGTTTTGCATTTGACAAAGGGCAAGGTGAGGCCGAGGGAGTGTGTGGGGTAGGGGGGAGGCACACCTTTTGTGTCACTCTGGGCACTTGTCACCTTGCATCTGTCTGGAATTAAAGCACTCTGGGTGGAGGAGCAGAAGACCTGGGCTCTGGTCACATTTGGTCGGTAGCCCTAGGACCAGCCACTTGTCTTCACTGAGACTCCGTATCTCAGATGGCCTCTGGGGGCCTTCAGTGCTCCATGCTCCCTGAGGGGGGCTTTTTGGAAAGATCTGCCACCTGGTCCCACCCTGAGGGCTTTCTGACTGGGGCTGGAGTACTACTCGCCAGCTCCCGACTTGCCAGCTCCCGACTCGCCAGCTCCCCAGCCTGTGTGCAGGGGCGCTTGTCGAGGCCTCACGGGCCGCGATAAACAGCTCGCCGGCAACACCACTGTAATTGTCTGCGAACAACACGTTTGCTGCCCCTCCTCCCACGTGACCTCACATGGCAACACCTCTCTTGTACAAGGAAGCATCTGGAAGTGGGGTCCTGACAGCTGTCTCCCAGGGCAGAGGGGGCAGCTGAGGACAGTAGACTGGACACCCCGCAACCCACCGCCAGCCTCACCCACCCAGGTGCAACCTCTTGTGGCGCTGCTGGGCCAGGCAGCCCTCCCAATTCCTGACCACCAGCCCCAGTGCCTTGCTCCCCTGGAACTGCACAGCTAAGCAGCCACGGCAGACGTGTCCCGCCTCGCCTTGGGAAACATCCAGGCTCCCCATTAACTATCGTCTGCTTCTTGCTCCTGATCTATTGGGGTCCCTAAGTACAGACATCCTGTGCAACCTCATCTCCTACAGTTTTCCAAGCCCAAATCCTGCCAGCCGATAGTCAAAATCTGGGTTCGGGGCTTTGGAGAGAAGGTGGGCCCCGCT